ATCTATCTATCTATCTATCTATCTATCTATCTATCTATCTATCTATCTATCTATCTATCTATCTATCTATCTATCTATCTATCTATCTATCTATCTATCTATCTATCTATCTATCATTAGGACATAGAACCGGTTGTTAATTTATTTGAATCCCACCACTGGTTCCACTGCATATGGGAGTGAAGTTTTAAATCTGTCCTTGCACACAACAATATCTCACTTGGGATTACTGTCATTTCTTTTGTTTCTGTTGTATGCTTTAAGTGACTGATCTATGAATGTATTAAATTGATCTGATTTGATTGATTTCATAATGGTATCACACTAACATGGCTTTTGCAATTTTACAGTATTTTATCAAACACATTATATAAGGACTCTTACCTTGTTATCTTCTCTGGACTTTCTGACACAGTGGTGAGCGTCAAATGTTTTAGGAAACCCTTTTTGAGACAATTCATTATTTTGAGACATAAGATGAGGCTGACCAAAGGTTCCATTAACTCTGTATCTGTCAGCAGGAATTTTATTCATTGGAGGCGGAAGAGTTCCACAGTTAATACTTGACCAATCTGTAGAATCTGTGTATGATTCTTGATCACTCACACATCCATGCTGCCAATCTTTTAACACATGAACAGGCAACCATCTTTGATTGGAGCTGTCCGCACAATTGTTCTTGAATGAAGAAACTGAGCTTTGAGGAGGAACAAATGGCACTTCAATGCGAGCTGAAGGAGCTAATAACTTGTTTAGATGTTGTGACCTATCTTTCTGAAACATTGCTTCTAATGCAGAATGTCCTTCTTGTTCATGGCTAACATTCCAATGAGGAACAATCTGACCTCTGCCTACTGGGTTGTCCTGTATACTACTAAGAACATGTTTACTTGGGTTAGTGCCTAGATCAACTACCAAAACTCTATTATTTTTCTCTTCTTGATTAAAATTTCCAATACCGCTGTCACTATTACTGCTCATACTGTTGTTCTGATGAATATCTGCATCTCCATCAAGAAAGGCCCTGGCCCGAACTCCCTCAATAAATTCTCCCATATCTCTGTACAGAACAGAAACAAACTGAAGAACAGGTAGAGACGATGTAGGAAATTCTAGGCAGCCATTAGTGTCAGGATCTGCTGTGCATTCTAATCCAAAGCGCCGTGCAATGCCCTGGTGAATTTTATGATGAAATAGTTCTGGATCTACCATGAACACATGACATGAAGTCCTCAAAACTGCTTCATCTTCTTGGGCCAAACTTGCATCATCAATTGTCTGCATGGTAACCAGCCCAAAAAATCTTCTGTCATCAGGGCATATAGCACTAAAAGCTAGCTTCTCTGCAGGATACTTTGCAATCACACCAGATTTGTTACTGCAGAGCTGAACAGAGTCATGCATAATCTTCATAACCACCAATGAATGGATTTTTTGTTCTGCTCGAAGACGGCGCATGCATCCACGGATAGCCTGCAAACTGTCATATTCCAAATTTGAACTTGAAGAAGGAAGTTCAATTGATCCTAGGTAACCTACAACCATAGCAACATTTAAAATGCTTGCATCTAACAAATACCATTCCTGATTTTCTAATCCAGTGCTAAAATTGGAATCATCATTTAAAGCTTTAGGCAAGTCCTCATTATATAGATTATTAGAGTTACTGCTCATATGTTCAGGTCCTCTTTCTAATTTAACAGCAGCTGTTCCTTGAACTGCAATTTGCTTCTTTTTTGGGTTCTGCATATTGCTGACACATACGTTAGAATTTTCAAAGATCATGTTAAAAATTCCACCAGACTGCATTTCTTCAACAACCTTTTCTGCTCTGTTTATCCCTAATCCTTTTGAGTCAGGCTTTGGTTTTAGCCACCCCGTCTCATCATAAAACCCAATTTCTTCATCACTTGAACAGGAGTCTGTATGACCAGCCCCTTCAGCAATGACCATGTGCAAAATCCCCGAGCATTTCCCTATTAACTTCACTACATCTTCATGTGATGCCTTTTTCACATTAATCTCGTTAACTGCAAATATTTTATCTCCAGCTTTAAGGCCTACATAATCTGCAGGGCTTCCTTTTAAAACACAACTAAGAATACAGGGAGCTTGACCAGAAAGGGTAAACCCATATCCTGCTCTCCCTCTAGCAACTTCAACGCTTCTTATGCTGGAACCGTGTATACGCAGCCGACGTTTCACTTTTTCTCCTGGTCTGTGCATGCTCGTATTTTCTAGAATAGCAGGTCTCTGCAATCCACTACTGATGTTTCAAGGGATGCCAGAAAGGAGTTTTTTCTGTCTTTAGAATTTCAAGTCCTAAAAGGAGAAAAAAATACTGCTTAAATAAATTTGCTCTCCCGCCTTTCCATCTGGTGAGCTTAACGTGCAGATACATGGCATTCATGAAGAGGACTTGACCCAGCTATAATCTTCCTATATGCAGAAGAATCATTCACCACAAGAACAAATTCTTATGTTAGTTCTGTTGATATATGGCATTTAGCAAGTGCACTCTAAGCAGGAAACCTCTGCACCTGCTGACTTCAAATGGTTTCAGCAATGCTTTTGCAGAGTAACACTATAAGGCCTAGATTGTTCTATCTGAAATTCAATTTTGTAGAAATCCAAAGAACCCATAATAAGTAGGAAGTCAGCACAATACTACACAATACTACTTCATGCCTAATTATTGATATTCCATTTAAAAAAGCAATACTTGACTACAATGCTAGTGGATAGTCAAATTCAGTTACGCTAGGCAATTTGCTCCCACTTTTTGTTCCAGGGTACAAGGGAACATCCCTGTACAGTACCACAGCTGTCACTGGTAGGCTTTTTCTCATGTGTTCATAGTACTTAGGATGGCCATTCTGAACTTCTCATAATTCCCTACCTCTTCCAGTATTAAGATGACAATAGCCTCCTGAATTGGTCTAGATATACACTGGGTTTTCAGCAGTCCACGGTGAATTCAAATGTGTACAGAAAAGCCTCTGAGTCATCATTGGGCTCTCTGAGGCTATCTGGACCACTACCGCATCTATAAACATGGATTCAGATCTTGTCATCCCTACAGTTCTTGGAGTTCACCAGCCTCTTGCCCTGACATCTCTACTCATGAGCTGGCTCCCTGCCAGTCACACTTCCTTTTGTAAAGTTTTGATTTCTGCTTCCCCCAGCCTTCTTCAACCTGGAGTTTTTCCCTGCACAAAGCTATCCAACATCTGTCCTGAGTCCCCTTTGGGGGTAGACTCCTGGATGTCAATGTACTTGCCCCTCCTGGTTCTACACTGAAATCCATTACTTTCTCCAGGACCCACCAACTCCCACAGCTCAGATCAACTGGCTTCTCCTCTCCTTATAACCCTCCTTCTTTCATCTCTCCCATTCCTTAAATAACCCAGGTCTGGGCTCACTTTCCCTTCCCCACATTGGCTACTGGGCAGCATGCCATTCTGAAAGTATTTGTTTCAGATCTCAGATGTTGTTCTCCATTTGCAGTCCTGGTTGGACAATATTAAGAATTAAGCAATGATTTTTTAAAAATTTCCATGTTTTTTCTACACCATTCACAACCCAGTTCTGTTGAGCCTAATGAAAACCTGTATGGGTTGAAAGCTAGATTCTGCTTTTTAAAAATCTATTAAAGATATTGAAGCTGGCTGGATTGGTCAGTGGTTTAGGTATCTGGCTTCAGAGCTAGAGATTGGGAGTTCAATTTCCCACTGTTCCTCCTGGGAATACAGCCAACCTGTGTGCCTTGGGCAAGCTGCACAATTTCAAAATGCCCCCAGAAGAAAGGAATGGTAAACTACTTATGTTTATTCTCTCCTTCAAAAACCTTAAAAAGGGTCACCACAATTCAGAATTGACAAGATGGTACTCAATTATTATTACTAACTATTGTTTCTATATCTTCCTCTGTTATTGACGTACCTACCGTAATCCTATTATATTTAAATATAAAGTGTTGTTCTTCACAATGCATCTATTTTTATTTATGGTGATTAATAATTTTTACACTTTGTTGTTCCATAGATATAATTAGTTCCACAGATATCATTAGTGGTATCAGTCTCCTCCTCCTCCTCCTCCTCCTCCTCCTCCTCCTTCTTCTTCAAAACTCTTAGTGTAGCAGAGGCACCAGGAAAAGGATAATACATGGGATGCAAGACCTGAGCATGGCTTTTTATGATAAAATCTTCTGGAGGTCACTTATTCTGGAGGTCACTTATTCATAGGATCACCATATATCAAGAGCAACTTGAAAGTATACGACAACAAATGTTTAAACTAGGCCTACAGTATATACCCCCTACTCTTTATTTCTTAAGGGACCCAAGTTTAGATGCACATTCCAGTTACTATTGGAGAACCATTTACCTCAATGAACTTTTATGTAATCTGAAATCTCTTTTGAAACCTTCATGATTAACCTAACTCATGTAATTCAACATATGTCTACTGTGGAGTAAGCCCACTGAGCTCACTGGGACTTAGTCCCCGGTAAATGTGTTTTGGACTGCAGCTTAGATCTGCACACTACCACCTGTATTCCACTTCAAACCAACCACAAATTGCAAGTTTGACACTTCCAGTCTGCCCCCTACTTTCTTGGATTCCCCACTTATATTGGCATTTTATGATTATATGTCAGAGGGTATTTAATACTCCTCTGGTAAGGACAGTGAGCGTTGAGAGAATTCTATTGGAGTATTTATGTAGGTAAGATGTATGGAAGATTACTATGCTAGATAATAGCTGTTAGGCATGTTGTGGTTTCTCACTCTTCTGTAGGTGATCAGGGAACAAAGGAAGGCTAATGATGTGGGTGATCACATAACAATAGGAAGGCAATTAGCCTTAGATAAAGTACAAAGAAGTCAACCACAGATGTCTGAGCTAGGGGAGCTTCTTAGCAATGCCTTGAGAACTCTTTTTATTAACTTAGAACGATTACACAGAATGTTGTGAGAATTCAGATAGGATACTAGTTACCTAATTGCCACTAGGATTGGCCGGAGAAACCCTTTGATCTTATGACCTAACTCTAAGGGAAAAGGCAGAATGAGAGGTCACCCCACCCGCTGGGAGCTGCTGCTTCTCTGCCGGGAGTGTCTGTACTCACTGTAACAGAAAAATTAACAGCCTTGGGCAGGATTTTTCACACTCTTCACTTCTCTAATCTAGAACAACTGAGTCTATCTTACTGGATTGTCCTCTGGTTTACCGATCCTGTTAAATCACAGGCTATTGTATATGAATTCCATCTCAGATCCGGACATCATCATTCTGCCAGCAGGCAAAGGCAACGGCACAGTAATAATGCAAACAGAAGAATACAAGGACAAAATCAGGGAACGTCTAGACCCCACCACCTACAGAAAACTAAAACGGGACCCAACCAACAAAATCACAAAACAAACAAATATGCTGATCAGGAGTTCTTCCCTGTACCCCAACGTCCCTCAACGAATCTGCAAGACAGAAGCTCTCCCACCAAGACTTTATGGACTCCCCAAAATCCACAAAGACTCAATCCCACTCAGGCCCATTGTGAGTGCCATTGGCTCACTGACATATGAATTAGCAAAATACCTAGTCACCCTTCTACAGACCCACACTGGACAAACCTCATCCTACATCAAAGACTCAGAACATTTCATAAGCAAGATCAGCACCCTAAAATTCAACTCCAGGGACAGACTGATCAGCTTTGACATAGTATCCCTATTCACCAAGGACACTGACACTCATCCAGCAGATCTTTCCAGAAGACATCAAGGCCCTTTTCCAACACTGCCTAACAACCAGCTATTTTCAGTGGGATAATGAGTTCTATGAACAGACAGATGGAGTGGCCATGGGGAGCCCCCTCAGCCTGGTTATAGCAAACCTCTACATGGAACATTTCGAAAAACAGGCCCTGGCTTTGAGGAAGATTTTCTAAACCATCTCAACAGCATCCACCCAAATACACAATTCACCATGGAAAAAGAAATAGAAGGCCAACTCCCGTTCTTAGATGTCATGGTCGTACGCAAAACTGACCTCCTATTGGGACACAAGGTCTACAGAAACCCATCCACACAGACCAGTACCTACACAAAAACTCCAACCACCACCCACAGCAAAAAAGAGGCATATTCAAAACACTGGTAGACTGTGCAAATTGGAACTGTGAAGCTCAATTTCTCAGCACCAAACTCAACCATCTGAATTGGGCCCTACAGGCAAATGGCTACTCCAAAAATGAAATCAAAAGAGCCATCAAACTAAGAAAACAACACCAAAGGTAAAGGTAAAGGTACCCCTTGACAACTTTTTGTCCAGTCGTGTCCGACTCTAGGGGGCGGCGCTCATCCCGCTCTTCAAGCCATAGAGCCAGCGTTTGTCCGAAGACAATCTTTCCGTGGTCACATGGCCAGTGTGATTTAGACACGGAACGCTGTTTACCTTCCCACCGAGGTGGTCCCTATTTATCTACTCGCATTTGCATGCTTTCGAACCGCTAGGTTGGCGGGAGCTGGGACAAGCGACGGGTGCTCATTCCGTTGCGTGGATTCGATCTTACGACTGCCGGATCTTCTGACCCTGCAGCACAGGCTTCTGCGGTTTAGCCCACAACTGAAGAGGAAAAACAACCACCTACAAATAAAATATTTCTGCCATACATCAAACAGGTCATGCACCACACGGGGAAACATTTGTAAAAACACAACCTAAAAACAGTATTCAAGCCTACCACAAAAATACAACAAATGTTATGGTCAGCAAAAGACAGAAGGGACCCCCTCACCACTGCAGGAGTATACTGGATACCTTGCAGTTATGGACAGGTATATATTGGAACTACAAAATGCAGCATCCACACCAGAATCAAAGAACACGAGAGACACCGCAGACTAAAACAACCAGAAAAATCGGCAGTAGCTGAACATGCTCTAAAACAAGCTGGACATGTTAGACTGAACAGGGAAACCACTGAAATCCACAAACACCAGCAGAACTTCAACAAAAAAGATGAAAGTCTAAAACTCAACAAAGCCTGGCTCCCAGCATTGAAAAATACAGCATGCAAAAGGTCAACGAATTCTATCCAGTTACAAGGACCAGTGACCACCGCACACAAAAGACCAGCTAACAACACCCATCAATCACAGTGACAGATCATCTCTCTGTCTTATCACAACAATATACCCACAACAAAAAACATGCTGATCACCACAATCACTCATCTCCTGAAAAGGACAAAAGCTGATCCCACAGCTATAAATACTCAACTATCCAAATAAACTTCCAGTTACAAGGACCAG